AAGAGTACTCTGATCCTGACACTTCCTATTTGCAAGAGGAACTGTTGGCGCGAGTACCTCCACAACTGTAGTCCACCCATGCAAATGAAGTGGGACACATGTTGAGTGCTGAACCAGTACGCATTACCTTGAACCCTGCCAAGCCACTTCCTTGTGTCCTGCAGTACCCCATTCCAAAAGAAGCTGAGGAAGGGATCAAGCCTGTCATTTCCTCACTCCTTGAGCAAGGGATCATTGTCTCAGCACGCTCCCCTTGCAACACACCTATCCTGCCTGTTACGAAACCTGGTAAAGACACTTATCGTTTTGTGCAAGACCTTCGAGCTGTAAATGCTGCTGTTCTACCTGCTTTTCCCGTGGTCCCTAACCCTGCCACTGTTCTTTCCTGTATCCCTCCAGATGCCACCTGTTTTACAGTGGTAGACCTGTGCCCTGCTTTTTTCTCCATCCCCATTCATGAAGATAGTCAGTACCTGTTTGCATTCACCTATCAGGGACTCCAATATACCTGGACAAGACTCCCTCAGGGATATACGGAGTCCCCCACCTTGTTTTCTCAGATCCTGAAGAAGGACTTGGACCCCATCACGTTCAAAGAGGGTTCCTCACTTCATCGGGGACCCAAATCAGTCACGATTGTTATGTTACTGCGCTTTTAGAAGCTGTTCAACTGCCTTCTGCTATTGCTATTGTTAAATGTAAAGCTCATGAGAAACCTTTTGATGATGTCACACGAGGAAATGATCTGGCAGACTGTTCTGCCAGAAACGCAGCCCTTTCTGGCCCGCAGGCTCCTAACTCTGTTCTTGTTTGTTTTTCAGCAGACCAGTCTCCCTTGGCTAGCCTTTCAAATGTAGCCTTTCTCCAGAATCAGGCTCCAAAAAAGGAGAAGGATGACTGGCTGCATGCCAGGTGTTCACTGCACCCCGACTCTCTCTGGCGTTCCCCGGACGGCTGCCTGGTGGCACCTAGAGAACTCCTCCCACATCTTGCTCGTTTAACCCACTCTGTGGCCCATACGAGCAAAGGGGGGATGATTGCTACAGTACAAAGAGATTGGTTTGCCCCAAATTTTCCTTCCATGGCACAACAGTACTGTAGCTCCTGTCCCATCTGCTTAGCTCACAACATTGGGCAATGGGTAAAGACAACACCCGCAGCCCATCCCCCTCCATGGGGACCATTTGTGAATTTGCAAATTGATTTTGTACAGCTACCCAAGTGTTGTTCGTATAAATATATTCTTGTTATTATTGATATGTTCTCTGGATGGGTGGAAGCCTACCTATGCATACATGCCAAATCTATCATAGTAGCTAAGAAACTGCTTAAAGAATTCATTCCTAGATTTGCATTGCCCCTCATACTAAATAGTGATAGAAGCATCCATTTCACAGGACAAATAGTAAAAAACATCTGCCAAGCACTCAACATACAGCAACACCTGCACTGTAGTTATCATCCACAATCGAGTGGTGCTATAGAACGTAAAAACTCTGATTTAAAGACACTTATTTAAAAAATTTGCGCTAAAACAGGCCTCAAATGGCCTGATGCACTGCCCATTGCTCTCATGCACATTAGGAACACTGTCAATAGAAAACACGGCCTAACAACTTATAAAATACTCATGGCATGACCCATGAGGATGCCGGCCACCCCACCTGCTGCCCCACACCAAACAGACCTACAATTAACTGATAAAACTGTACTGAACTATTGCAAGGCATTAATGAAGTGTGTCAGGTCTGTTCATTCACAGGTCCAAGAAGCCTTATCTCAACCACCAGATGTTCCCTGTCACAACCTTGAACCAGGTGATTGGGTCTACGTAAAGGTCCATCAGCGGAAAAACGCGCTTCAACCCAAATGGAAAGAACCATTCCAGGTGCTCCTGACCACTAACACTGCTGTTCGTTGCCAAGGTCACCAGACGTGAACTCACGCCTCGCACTGTAAAAAAGTATCACCTCCATTGGACCCCGAAAAAACTGAATTCCAACCAAGATTAAGACCTTTCCCTGAGGCCAAGGACAAAGACCCTCAGGACCTCACTCAGGCAAGTGAGGAGCATCAGGGTGCAAGTGCTAGTAACCTTTCCACTGAACCCATCACTTCAGCCCGGCCAGATTCACCAATTGTGGAACGAAGATATCGTCTCCGACCCCACTGAATAATATCCAAACATGAAGTTTTTTTTTCTATCTTGATTGTTAATGCCGAACTTTTGAGTTTAGCCTGTGGAAATGTATTTTTGTCTTTAGTTAATCAAATTAAAATAGATTTAAATGTCTCCAGTTGTTGGATACGTAGTCATGTTCCTATCCATTCCACCGGAGGAATACCCATGATACCTGTACCCTTGAATACAACTCAGATGCTGGCCCCTTATTATTCAGATTTCCATGGAAACGAGACTTGACAAGACATGAACTGCAATTGGTCTGACTATATACAACTAGCCTATGCTACTCCTGGAAAGTTTTGTTGGACCTGTAATGGATCACGTGTGGCAGTAGGAGTTAGCAAATGCAAAGTAGATTTTAAAGTAAATGGTACTTGGCTTTCTAATGGTTCCTGGATATCTAATTACTCCCCCCAGAGTAAATTTTCCGGGTACTATTCACAATGGATAATGAAACCTCCATGTAGCACCACCTTCACTGCACTAGCTGGTCATTATTTTGTATGTAGAAACAAGGCTTATAAAAATCTTCCTTCTGGGTGGGAAGGAACGTGCTACATTTCTGCCGCATACCCCGCTTTCACAATTAGATCACATTTGCCAAAAGGAAAAATTTGCAATATTTGCAAAATTACTGAAAACCAAAGATTTGGGGGTATTATGTTCCCCAATTATGGGGCAGGCTTAGCTATGTCTGAAATACAAAAGGTTGCAGTATCCTTAGAAAAAATAGCCAGTGCCACTGCCATTGGGTTCCGTGAAATCAGTAAAGAAATGAAAGAAATGAGACAAATGACTTTGCAAAACAGACTCGCTCTAGACTATATACTAGCCAGCAAAGGAGGAGTATGTGCCCTGATAAAGTCTGAATGCTGTGTATATATACCTATGCCTCTAGTGCCACTGAAAATGAAGCTAAGATTATTGAAAAAGAAGTTGTCAAACTTCACCAAATTAATCAATGGGATATGGAAGGAATGTGGTCTTGGTTAACTTCCTGGTTCCCAAATTTAGGAACCCTTGGCAAGAAAATCCTGTATGGAATATTGTTTGTCTTGATAGTTCTGACAGTGTTTTATGTCTTAGTGCAACTGATCCTCTGCTACGTGAAAGCCAGCAGGAGAAGCTTTAGCAAGGCAAGAAAACACACAGCAGAGTCTAGAATAACGGTGTTACAAAAGTGTGAGCAGATTGAAAGAAAACATGAAAGGCTGCATGATGAAATAGAGGGACTCATGAGAATGGAAGTTTAAGGCTCAAGTGAGACTAAATAGTCTCAAAGGGGAGACTGTGGAATCAGAAAAAATAAATGCCTTAAACTTTGATCATACGAGTTATAAGATGAACATAACAGCTTTGTGGGGAATTGCTGGCTCTGTATATTAGAGCAGATAAGGGAAAGTGTTTGTTCTTTGTAACTCCTCTGCAACTGCTTCACTCACCGCGGCCTTGAAGATAGCAGAAAAAAAGTATGTGCTTGTTCTCCCTGAGATAACAGAGTGCTTGCTAATTATCTTTGACTGTTTTCTCAGAGAATTTTTTTTTTGCAATTATGTCCTGTGTAACAGTCTGTTTTTAAAAGCTTATATAAACTGCATGATTCTGTTTTGGAGGCAGAGACCTCTCTGTAGTGCTGGTGAATCCATGTACTCTAAGCTCTCCCCCACAGTACCGTGGATCTGAATAAAGCTTCTACTGACCTGACCCCAAAGTCTACACGTGTTTTTCCACGACACATGCAACAAGAAATGAGGGAGAGTAAAAACAAGAAACAGTAGAGTTTGACAGTTTGGGGACTCAGCCACACAAGTCAACTAAGAGGGAGTTAGGAATGGTCAGCATTTCCTAGTAGAGCTCAGTACTCTGCCAGTGATCCATGAGAACCAGCCTGGAAATGCAGTTAAAAATTGAACTGCAAGTGATTCCCACTGTGATCATGCAGCTAATGGGGAGATGAGAGTGACACAGGGCTTTCAAATCTGCAAAGGACAGGAATCAATTTCTAGTAGTACCTTGAATACCAGCCCAACTAATTTGGTTCAGGAAGATATAGGAGAGTAAGTTGAAACAGACTCCCTCAGCTTTCCCTGTAGGCCGTACGAGCATTGTAAGCCATGTGCAGCATGGGCCATGGGTAATATAGAGTGTGTCATGACCTGATCTGAGCTTGACTCAAGCAGCAATGACATAACTTGACCGTGCTCTGTAGACAGCGATAAGGTGCACTAACATAACACAAGGAAATGGAAAAGGATTGGTGTAGCTCCAAAGCGTAACCAAATATGGAAAACCCTGTGTAAAGTATATAATCATGCTTAAACTGCGTGAGCTCCAAAGCTCAGTGAAAAAGAGGAACCAAATTAGTGATGGTCTCCAAGAGAGTAGAGAAGCCTGGAGAGCGGACCCATTTTGCCTTGAATCCAAGGCTACATAAGCACTGTTCTTATTAATGCAAACAAGTCTTTGCTACTGTGTATCCTAATACAGTTTTCAAGTTGTGAATGGAATAGTCTCACTGGTCATCAGTTTCGCTGTCAATCCCAGTTAAAACTGGGGGTGACATCCCCAAACCTCACACAATTTCTGGAAATAAATTCTTCCAGGGGGCCTTCCTACAACGCACACAAAGCAGCGTCTTTTGAAACAGTCCCAATTAAACAGCCTCTCGGAGCTGGAAGCGTGCCTAGCGCGGCCACCTGCCCCCAGGAGCTCACAACAAGACGGCTTAAGCAGTTACAAGGACGCTGAAACCGCCTTTGGGCGGTCAGCAGCACAAACACGCCACCATCCCGACCCCAACCGAACCTCCGCTTACTTCTCATGTTAACATCAATAGGATTGAGGCTGGCGGCGTGGACACGAATGATGACCTCGTTGGGGAGGCGGATGAAGGGGAGCATCATGTTACTGGCCAACTGCAGCACATTGTTCTGCCCGTAGCAGTTGATCACCCAGGCTGGCATGACCTGCCTCGGGCATGACAGGCTGAGCCATCGGGCGCAACCAGGGTCCAGGAGTAGGCGGGCAGGCACTGCCCTATGCAGAAGTGCGGGGGGCAGCATCGTAGGCCCTGCACCTGCGTGTGGCGGGGGGTGGCTGGCTGAACTCTGCTAGGGCTGCTCAGGGAAACCTGCAAAAAAAATGAATGAAGGGGGAAAATGGTAAAAGCGCCTCCGCCAGGCGGCTACGTGAGCGAGCACCTGCCCGTCACACCCCCGAAGCACACCACACACCCACCCGCAATCTCCTTCCCACACCCGCCCACAGCTACTGCCCCTGGATTGCCCCCCGCTCCTCCACCTCGGCCAATGACCATCTGCCTTCATTCCTGTCCCCAGCTCTGTAACCAATGGCGAAGCCCGATGTTAACCCGGCGATCCAAGATGGCGGCGCCCATGGTTTCCTAAGTCCAGCGGCAGGTTTCCGGCCGGGAGTGGTATCGAGGGTATGTTGCGCACCGCCCTCCGAGAAGTGAGTGGAGGTGGCCTGGGCCTTACCCTGCCCGGGCCGGGTCCCGCGCGCCGCCCCGTGCCCCCTGGAGGCAGGGCAGGGAGCAGGAGTGGAGTGGGGTGGGGCGGGGCGGGGGATGCTGTGGGGAGCCAGTGTTGCCCGGTGTGCGACAATTATTGTATTTGTAACAGTAATTTCACCCCTTGTGCGATCAAGAGCAGTACAAGCGTTTAAAATGTCACATAATTTTTGAGGCAGTTCAGTGATGCAGCAGATGCAAAATCCGAGTTGCTGTCAGGGAATCTGACCTGACTTTGGGGCTTGCTGTCAGGGCGGTCTTACGCCTGCTTGCCTCAAAATAAAGAAACGCTTCAGCTTTGATGACCCAGTTCTCACTCAGTCACTCACTGGCATCTTACAGTGAGCAATACAAAGTAAATAAGAACAAGACTTATTTGGATACTCACTTGCATATTTTTTCAGTGTACGATTGCTTTTCATCAAATATGATTTTTGAGCTCCCAATGTGATCGTTTCATATTTAAGACCTGGCAACGCTGGGGGGAGCTTGGAGACTCCAGAAGCTGCAGAGGTAGCGGGCGCGGTGCCAGAGGCAGGTTGCCAGCTGGCCAGCCCTGCCTTGGACAGACACTCTTGTCGGGGAAGGTTTGGAGCAGGGGGCTCAGTCTTCTTGGTCATGCCGCCCAGTCTGGAAATTTGGCAGTAGGGAAGTGGCAATTAATGCTGCCACCCAGTACCAGATTTTTAGAGCTGCGAGAGCCCCGCAGGCTGGGTGACATGGCTCCACGGGCTCGATCTGGCCCACAGAGAGGGGGATGAGCACCCCTGGTTTAGAGCATGGGGGCTCTACTTTGTGGCCTCTGACACTGGCCCAGACCCACATGCTGGATCCAGCTGCAGAGGAACTCACTGCTTCACCCCTGCCCTGAATCTGGCTGCAAAACGACAGGATCTGGTGTGTTGGGCCATGTTGTCTGGCCTGCAGGGCTCCCCACAGGCCTGGAATTGTGGCAGTGGGGCAGCGGTGACAACATGAATTGTCACGGCTTTAGGATTCCACCAAATTTCTGGACCCTTGGGGAGCCCCCCAGACTGGAGTGTACGGCCTCCTGGGCTGGATCCAGCCTGCAAGGTGAAGGTTGAACACCATCAGTTTAGATCCTTGAGCAGGGGGCTGGGTTAAACGGACCTCTTGAAGTCCTTTCCAGACCTATTTTCCTATGGTTTTATAATAAATGCATACAGGACAGGTTGCCACATTAGATCTGTGTTCAGAATAGGGGTGCATCAATAGAGATTTTGGGGGCCGATACTGATAGCCAATTTTTTAAAGGAGGCATATTGGCCGATACCGATCCAATTTCCAATACATAGCCCTGCAGCTTGAAGAGCAGTGTCCACCTGGCATGTCTGTTGTGGTGGAAGGGGAGGGGCAGGTCAAGGCCCTTGCAGTGAGGGAAGGAGTGGGGCAGGGGCTGGGTGCAGGAAGGAGCCACAGCTCGTTCAGGGGGTACGGAGTGAGAGGCGGCTTCCACGGCTGCATGCACCTCAAGAGGGCACGGGGGGAGAGCATGTGCCCCCTGGATATGTGCGGGGATGGGTGGGAGGGCTGCAGCTCTGGGTTAGGACTGGGGCTACCGCGAGTTCTTCCCAGCGTGGGGGAGGGGGGGAATGTTCGGCCAGGGCTGTGCTCAGGGTGGGCGGAGACGGCACTGGGAGGGTGGCTATGGGGGAGGGCTGCAGCCACCCCAAATTTCACCATGGCTCCCTGCCCAGTGCCACCACTGCCCACTCCAAGTGCAGCCCCCATGCACCAGGAAATGCCCAGTGCAGCCCTGGTCCCAGCCTCCAGCTGCTGGCCCTCCGCACACAGATTGGGGGCACATCCCCCCTCCCCCATGCCCACCTGGGGTGCATGCAGCAGGAGGAGCGCGCCCCCCGCACTCCTCCGGACAAGGCGCAGCTTGGTCCCCACCCTGGCTGAGCAGCACCTGCCCTGGCCCCTGCCTCACTTGGGGGCAGGGTTGATCTGCCCCTCCACAACAGACTTACCAGCTTCACTCAGCTCTCCAAGCTGCCAGGCTGTGCTTCTTGCTGCCTGCATGCTGCACTGCAGCTGCGCACACACACGCACAGGCATTTACTGGCCAAATTATCGGCCACATCAGGCTGACTTCCGATACAATAATTTTCTTTATATTGGTGCCTATCCGATATTGGACCGATGTGTTGGTGTATCTTTAATTCAGAAGTTGTTCAGGCATTGACCAAAATGGTGGTGTAGCAGGCTGAAGATGAAACTATTTGAAAAACTTATGCAAAAGTTTGCAGAGTGCTTGAAGAGCCAAGGCTGTTGTTCCATCACGTATATGCTACACACTACAGCTGTATTTATCCTCAAGTAGAAGGTAGAGAGAATTAGTTTTGGAAACTGCAATGAAACTGCAGATCTAACTGGTTTTTGTGACTAGGTTCTTACCACGTGAAAATGAAAAATGTCCTTTCAGGTGTCGACAGCACTAAAGGAGGGCCAAGTGAGTCCAACAGAACTTTGTCAACGATGTCTGTCTCTTATCAAAGCCACCAAATTTCTTAATGCGTACATCACTGTAACAGAAGATACTGCATTAAGGCAGGCTGAAGAATCTGAGAAGAGATATAGGAGAGGTAAATTAGCTTGCCTATATTTGTTATACCTCCTCAAAAGTTTTTGTTTGACTGTAGTGGGTATAGTACTTTCTGTCAGATTTAGCAGCTTGCATAAAAAAGGAAAGCTACTGTTTGTTTGACTTGGTTGTATTAAACAGCAACAGGACCTATTCAAGCTAAATGCTCTGTGGATACCACTGGTTGCACAACGAGCATATTTATTCACTGGTGTGCTCATTGTGGTGCCCCAGAACAAAAACTACTTAAAATCATTTAGCTTCCTTCATGTGGAGGCTGCACATAAAGGTCAGCTCTGTTTGCTGAGCTGTACTGCAGCTTAATGTCCACCCATTCTTCAGCAGCTTGGTTCACATTGGCAGCAGCAGTTATTAGAGCTAGTGGGGCATAATAACCTTTACTTTGTAGCCCCATCAACATGGGAAGACAAAACAACTCCTAGCCTAATTTAGTTTTAGATGTTAAAAAAAATCATACAAGAGGTGATTTTTATGAAGCTGTGGTCTCCTGTTGTTGCTGGAGTTCTTCCAACACTTTGAGGTACATTTCCTGTATGTCCCTGCTTGGAGAACGGGGAAAAAAGGAGAATTCATTCTGATGTGGTTTTTCTTTTTTGTAGCTGACAGTTTCTGTTATTCAACTCCTTTGGCAAACTGCTGTAGAGGAGATGTAACTGGAATACATTTGTCTCCTTTAAGAGTCTTCCTTGGATGATTAATTGTCACGTCTCCTTGGACAGATTCTTCTTGTTGCTATGGTTTTCTAGAGCCCACTTGCTGGGCACATCAGGCAGGCAGCCTTGACTCCTTTCCTGGGTGGGAATGGCATGGATTTCAGATTGATGCAAACATTATATGGTCATGCAGTGTGGGGCAGGCACCTTTTTGGGATAGCTAACCTATTTTGGAACCAGCTCTCTTAGTAGCAGGGCCGATGACATTTTACAGAACCTAAGGAGTTTGAGGACAAATCTGGCTTGGGCAACAAAACCCTTAAGAACAGAGTTGAGACTTTGTGAAAATATAACTTTAAAAGCATTCATATGATGACCGAAACAATTCCTTAATAAAAACAAAACAGAAGTGGAAAATAAAAAGGGATGACTAAACCCTTCTTAATATTTAGATTTAAGTTATGGTGCTGTTATACCTCTTGTTATTACAGGTCAGTCACTGGGGGATTTAGATGGAATTCCTGTTGCAGTAAAAGACAACTTTAGCACAACTGGCATTGAAACAACATGCGCATCAAACATGCTAAAAGGTAAAGTAGAGGCGAAACCAGTTCTGGTCCTAAAGCTCTGGTCCTTTTCTCTAAAACTTCTATGAAGCACAGTGTAGTTGAAACCTAGTCATTTAAAAAAAATCTTGACATAGTTTCAGACACTGCAGTCAGTCATCCTTGCCTTTTCTGGGTTTACAGACAATTTTCACTTTTTATATACGGTTGCTCCTGAAATTGTAACTGACAAATAAGGTCATCCAGTACTAACTCTAGCCAACAGACTGTAATTTTAACAATAGGTTACATTTTGTTCCAAGTTATGTTCAGGTTGCCAGTATTCTTCACTCTTCGCTTTTGTTTGTTGATTTGTACTATATAGCAGAACTCAAATACAGTTTCTAGTTTGTTCTTCCAGAATTTTTGATCCTGGTCCTTGAACTAAATAGTTGTCTTTTAAATTGATGTCGTCTTAGTTTTGAATTCTGCTCTCTGCATTCCTGATTTTGATCATTAATCTTCATGTATAAACATGACAATTCCCATAGCTTTGTCTTATGTTTGCCTAGAAAAAGCACAATTAAAAATAGAATTAAAAAAAATATCAATTTCATTCTGTTGCATTGAGAAACCAACACAAATGGAAAATTCATTAATTAGCACTGCGGAAAGAATGAAGCTGAGTATAGAAAAAAATCTTGACAGAAGCACAAGTGAAACTTAAAAATATTTTGAGGGTGGTTAGGGAAGAAATTCTACTATTTTATTTTAGTTTTCTAACAATAGAAGAAAAAATGAATTTTATAAGAGTGTCAAGTTATTTCAGATGCCTTTCCTTTGGCATGCCTCCCAGGCAGCTTTGATTGATGGAAGACAGCACATCTGAGAAGCTCAAGGTTTAGAATGCTCCGTGCTGACTTCATTCTCAGAAAAAATCTCAGTCAGTATTGATTAGCGATACTCCATTAGTTAACTAGTGGCAACCACCATGTTAAATTCTGTTGTAATAGGTCTGGTTCTCATCACAGCATGACCAAATGTAGTTTGAATTTAGCTGCACAAATCGATCAGTCTTGGGGGGCGGGAAAGAAAGATGCTAGGAAATAAGTCAACATTCTGTCTAATACTCATTCCCTGTTTGTGATCAATCAGAATTTATTGATGATAAATTTCACTATTTTGAGGGTTCCTGGCATTGTATAGTGACAGTTGCCATGCAAAGATAATGGCTACTTAGAACTGTTTGAAGGTCTAGTTACTGAAATGTATCCAGATGGCACCAGACAGTCTCTTAACTGATCTAATTGTTTTTCAGGTTATATTCCTCCTTACAGTGCTACTGTAGTTCAAAAATTATTGGATCAGGGTGCTGTGCTTATAGGAAAAACAAACCTAGATGAATTTGCTATGGGGTGAGTTATATTTAACATTATTAATTAATAACTGCACGTTATTGTGTAGCTACACAGTGTCTACTCTGACACCTCCCTCATCCTTAATTAATAATTTATGCATATTGAGAAAATAAGGAAAGCAAATATTTACCAAGGGTGGTTATAGCTACACAATGGCTATTTCTGTGAACTTCACTGGATATTTATTTCATTATGGTGTGTATCCAGCTGTTTTTAAGAAAGGAGTGAGCTAGCCATTGTATCACCTGTAAATAATAGGATGCTAATGAGATGGTTGATTAAGTAGTATTCACTCTCTTTGAAAAAAAAATTGCTTTTTCTGGTAACCGAGCAAACTCCGACCTGCAACTGAAACATTAGTTATCTCTTAGGGTTAAGGAGTGATTGTATTCACTGTATTTTTCTTCAGTGTATAGTCCATTGATGCTTTACAATTGTCTGTGTTTAAACTATCCTAATCTCTTACATCAGATCTGGGAGCACTGATGGGATATTTGGACCAGTTAGAAACCCATGGAGTTATTCAAAACAGTACAGGGAAAAATGTGGGCAGAACTCCCATCTTGAGAATGAAGACTCCAGTTGGCTGATAACAGGAGGAAGCTCAGGAGGTAGCGCTGCTGCTGTATCATCTTTCACATGCTTTGCGTAAGAAGCTCTTTAGACCTGATTTTAATTAACTGCACCATACTCATGTAGTACTTTTCCTCCAAGTTTAATTCTAGACGCTTCCAATAATCTAGTTCATATTGTACACCCAAGAGCAGATATTGTTTATGTTTGAAACTGGACAATTATTAGCACTTCTATTCAGTAATTAGTTTCAGTACCTCCGTGGTGTTCAGGATATATGGCATAACACAAAAGGAAAGTGATTTTATATGGATAAATGTAAGATATTTCCTTCTAAATCTTAGTCAGCATAGTGGTATGAACATTTTGGATTGCCTGAAATAAATTTATGGAAGAGGGAAATTAACTGTTATCATCCATACCTGCTCTTTTAAAAAGTATCCTACAATCAGTGATATATCAGCTAGCTGAAGCGGCACAAAAAAACCCCTGCCATATAAAAGCTCTCATCTCTAGGAGTGTAATATTCTTTTCTCCCAGAGTTAATTTATATGGCAGGACCACCTATAATTCAGGCAAATTTATAGAATTTCGGGACTAATAACTTTCAGATCTCAGATTTACTGAAATGGTTTGAACTATATAGACACTTAAAAGTTACCTTTCAGAAAAATGCATTCAAAAAGAGTTTCTTTAAAAACCCAATTCCAGTTGGTTATGACTTCAAAAAGTGTTTTAACAGTGTTCTTAACTGCATAGATTAATGAGCTGTTATTTGCAAGAAATAAAAATGTGTGAATAATTTTAAACTCAGATTCTGTTAGTGTCAGTACAGGTGGAAGATATAAAGAACATTTTTTGCAGGGCTTTTAGAAATGTTAGATCATCTGTATAATAAACACTCCAGCTATATTTTTCAATCAGAAGACATTTGAGCTTACTTTTGAATATAAGTCATCCTAGATTTTCTGATTCTAAGTCGAAGAAAAAATAAGATATCAAATGAAGATATATCTATGGAGAATATAAGAGGGTTTGTTTTTTTTACTCCAGTTTACTCCAAAACCAATTTCTTTTAGGCGGTATCATGCCATATGAAAAATTAGAGTTGGTGTACAAATCCAGTTTGTGGGGAAAAAAAAAAAAGATAAATTAATTGGAAAAAATGGACTGAAAAATTTGAACTAGTAAAACAATTTTTCAAAAACAGGAAGGAACTTTTTCATCTGAAATTGACCTTTTTACAAATTTTTTTTGGAAAAATCCAATCAAGACAGATTTCAATTAAAATGATACTTTTCTTCCTTTTTACGTTTCTTAAAACAATAAAAGATTTCATTGGAATAAACTTTTATTTTTACAAAACGTTGATTTTTAACAACAGCATTTTTTGTTTTAAAGTTCAGCTATGACTCTTTTCCTGAATGTACAAAAAATGTGGTATTATTGCAGGTATGAGTTTAACTAATGGAAACTTAAGACCTTGTGCCATTGTAGTCTTGGAAAACAAAAAATATTGCCATAATCTTTGATAGGTATTGGACCTTATTGTATTAAAGGGAAAGTGCTTATAAATATTTTGCTATAAACTAAAAGCTCCTGGTTCAAGCTAAAGAATGGAAAGGTAGGGCAGAATAAATGGGGTTTGAATGCATAAAAAGGATGTGCTTTAAATATTTTCTCTTTGAGTATGGACAAATATGCATTTGAAGTGCTCTAAACCTGGCATGCTTCTGTTTCAGCACCATGCAAATGTGCAGGCCACCCTACTTCCTCTCCCCCATTCCCAGAGAGCTTCAAAATGGCCAGGAAGGCACATAGTGGGACTGCTTTTTAGCCAAGGGCCTGGTGAACAGGGAACTGTGCATACATCTTAGCTTCTGGTTTCCAGAGGGTCCCAAGGACAGTTGAACGCTCAGCAGAGTATTTGTTGACTATCTACCCTCCCCTTCCACTGTGGAATACCAGAAGACGCTGGAATGTAGGGACATTTCAGAAAGTGCTACAAAGGGAAGCCCTTCAAAGACCTTCCTCTTTTTTTTTTTTGTTCAAGGGTCATTTTTTTGAAAGCGCTCTTTGAAAGCATGTGCACATCTATACCTTTGCTGTTTGGAGCACTTCAAACACCATGTCTGTACATGACCTTCGTGTAGAAAAATCACATCTAGAGGTTTGTGACTTTAACAACTGATACACTTTGGATGTGTTCTACAGTAGTCAATTCTGTTAATAATTCTGTTTACATCGTAGGGCTTTGGGATCAGATACAGGAGGATCCACCAGAAACCCAGCTGCTCACTGTGGAGTAGTAGGCTTAAAACCAACCTATGGATTGGTGTCTCGTCATGGTCTCATTCCTCTAGTGAACTCCATGGACGTACCAGGGATTTTAACCAGATGTGTGGATGATGCTGCAACTGTGTTGGGTATTACTAGTGTACATGTCTTATGCAATTTGTCTCAAAAACCTGTGAATTCAAGTAGTCCCTTTTGTATTTTCTTTCCTGTACCTTTTGAAACCCATTTCACATTTCAGGTGTGCTTGCTGGGCATGATCCTAAAGACTCTACCACAGTGCAAGACCCCTTTAATCCATTTAAATTACCCAGTGTCATAGATGTCAGCAAGCTCTGCATAGGAATACCAAAGGTAATATTTTAACTGTTTTCACATTTTGAAGGAGCAAGGGTGGGGATTCATACCAGAGTAAAACCTTTATATCCTGTTCACTTAATCTACAGGCTTAAATCTGCTGTATATTCAGCCTCTGGGAGTAAAAGGATTTTTATCTTCTTGCTTAGTGTCAGCTTCTTCAGGTGGCTAAGCTGGGGCATTGATACTTTCTGAAAAGTTCTGTCCAGTTGTTAGAGGGGCATTGTCTAGAAATGACAAAAGAAGATTGGGAGCCTGAACTCCTTAGTTTTACCACTGACTTTTTTACTGCAGGCAAGTCACTCTTCTTTTGGTACCTTTGGTGTAAAACTACTTATCACAGAGGAACGATGAGACATTGTGGAAAACTCTGGAATACTTGACTGGAAAGTGCTATAATAAGGCAAAATAGTAAAGAAATTTTGCAGTGCAGAGGAAAGCAAAGCAAGGGGAAGAGTGATGTATATGGTCCTATTATGGATACAAAGAGAAACTTGCCCTGTTTATTAAAATTGATAATAAGCTACATGGTTTCAAGTCCACAGAGTTGAATAATTTTGTGGTTAAAAGAGTTATCACCAGGTAGGCTAAGAATTGAGGTTTGGTATCTTTTTAATTAATCATTTAATAGCAGAAAAGTGTGTGAATGTGTTACTTCGACTGAGCTTTGTAGGGGATGGCTGTTTGACTAAGACTCTTCCCCTTCCCCTTGTTTTCAAGCATTGTGCTAGAACAAGTGAACCAGTTTTGATAAACCAACATGCCCCAGATCAGGTTGTTGTCCAGTCTACATGAAATAGGCATCTAGTTTACTAGGTTCCCAGGTGCACACCCACTTTTTTAAGTTGCCAAGGCACTTGTGGAAGCATTAGCTGGGAGCTCCCTGCTTCAAAGCTGCAGGTGCTGCTTCAGGTGTCATAGATGTCAGCAAACTCTGTGTAGGAATACCAAAGGTAATATTTTAAATGTTCTCACCTGTGAGGCATGGGCAGCTGAAGAGCCAGGATCTTATACCCTGCACCATAAGCCACAGCCATGCTTTTTAAAACTCCATGGGTGTTCGGACCCAGACAGTAGGGAGAGGCTACCCAGTCTCTAGTTCCTACCACCCAGGCAGATTTAAGGAGCACCCATAAGTCTGGATAGGCTGCCAGTGTGTCGGGGATAAGAGGCTCCTGGTGGAGTTTAAAGTCCCCAGAGGGGAAGCCCTTCAGCTCCCCGCACCCACAAGTCTCTGATTCCCCTGTGCCCCAGCAGGGTGCTGGGTTTTGACAATCAGCTAATTCCGCTAATTGATGGAAACTGAGGTCACCTGATTGTCAGCCCTGCCCGGACAGCCCCAGTTTAGAATTGGACTTGGGGCTGTCCCAGCCAGCACCAACAATCAATTTATTGTCAGCTTGCTACACTGGAGACTAGAACTGGCCCTAGTGCTGTCAGAAGCCTAGATGATAATCAGCTGATTGTCAGCCCTGGTCCCAGAGTGTACTGGAGCTGGTTTGAGTCTCTGATGGGGTTCTTGGGGCTAGAGCCAACAATCAGCTGATTATCAGCTTTGCTGGACTTGCTGTGGGCACTCCTTTCAGTTTGCCAGTGCAGGGGGAGCCCAGGCTTATGATCCTTCTTCACTGGCAAGCAGTAATGGTGAGATGGGATCTAATCCCTGATCCCAGCAATCATGCCTTCTGCTGTGCATAGGTGGTATGGCAGGAGGTGTTACTATTGAGATGGGGGATCAGATCCCATCTTGCCATTACATGAACATGTGCTAGGGGCCCTTGAATGTTTTCTGTTCATGTAATGTTACCTGTAATGTTCCTGGTATCATGGATTAAAATTGAAATTGAACTGTTCATGAATGCAGGGCAGTGCACCATGGTCCCTGTCAAAAGACAGATAAGTAGGCAGCTACTCATCCGGTAATTCAAGACCTGCAGCAAGAATCACCTGGGGGTAATTGTCATCTCTGTCCATACAAGCAATTAGGAGAAGTGATCATAATGGTCTTAAAATATATGAATCATGTATGTATTTGATAGCCAACACACCGCAGAGACGGTTGTCTATAATAAATATTTTAAAAGATCATTTAAAAGTATTTGCATCAAATAGTATATTCCATAATGCTGCTTGCATAAAAACCACTGAAAGTAAACCCATGTAAAACTATCCCAAAATATATTTATGCATAGAATTAATCTCCTGGCTTTTGTTCTCCTCCAAGGAATACCACATACCTGGGTTGTCTAGTGAAACTCTGGCAGTCTGGTCGAAAGCTGCTGACCTCTTTGAGAATGCAGGTGCTAGAGTAATTGAAGTGAGCCTACCGCACACTTGTTATTCTATTGTCTGCTATCATGTGCTGTGCACAGCAGAAGTTGCATCAAATATGGCCAGATTTGATGGACTGGAATATGGTAAGTCCTCCTTCCTCTAAAAACATGACTCCATACCATTTGGTATGAGAGTAAGAAAGTTTTAAGTGGCCTGGAAATTGTTAACAACTGTGTGTAATATGTGGTTAAATGTTTGGAGATGCGCGTGATCCAAAGGCACTGTAAAGTAAAAACCCTATCTTAGATGAAAGCTGGCATGAATCAGTTGAAACTGAGGTCACCTGCACTGTGACTGGATAACCCAAAAGCTGTGAAGCCCTTATTGGATATCTGCTTCTAGCAGAAAAGTGTATTTTTTTCTGTTTCAGAAATTGAATTTTTAAAGGTAGAATGTGTTCAGTATGTACCTAAACCAGTGCTTCCCAAACTTTTCCTCAGCATAGCCCCATTTCCTCAGTATGGCCCCTTACTCCCAACTTGCAGCCCCCCACCCTCCCCAGGTGCCCCAGGGCCTGCAGCCCCCCTGTCCCCCACCTCAGCAGCACCTGAGCCCCAGCTGCTGCCCACAGGAAGCAGCAGCTGCTGAGGCCAGAGCGCAGAGCGTGGCTCCCCACCTCTGTCCCCTCCCCCACGGGTGGCATGGCCTGAGCAGAAGCTGTGGGGGGCAGAGGGAGAGGATGCAGGCTGCCTGCTGCAGGCTTGGGTTTCCCTGCTCTGCTGCCCGTCCCCCAGGCCTCTGCAGCCCAGCGGGTGGGACCTGGGGTGAGAGAGAGCACCATACCGCAACCCCATCTGCGACCCACAGTTTGGAAACCACTGACCTAAACATTCTGCCTTTTATTTGGTGAGATGCTATACATTATACTCTTTTGCATGGACTTTATCTTACTGATTTGAATGGTATAGCTGTGTCAGATATGGGGTCTTAAAAGAACATCTCCGGTAGCTAATATAGCTATGCTACCAAAACACTTGGCATAGACACAGCAGAAGGTTTTCTACCTTTTAGAGGAGCTGGTATAACTTTCCTTGGTGGAAACATTCCTTCTACTGGCATAGCGGGGTCTATACCAAGTGGCTTAGCCACTGTACTTAAAGTGGCAGCAGTCCCATAGTATAGTTATATTTGAAATCTGTGTAGATGATGTCATCTATGGAAGTTTTCAGCTTATTGATACACGAAGGCTTCCCGTATAGCTAGTGGCTCACTCGGCTTAGTCATTGCCGACTGGAAGGAACACGCTGCCCTCAATTAAATTAACCTCTTTGTTGTATTCATGGATTTAATTAAAGCAAGGTTGTCCAATTTATTTGGGTCTGTGGACCAGATAGCTCACTTTTGGCAGCAGGGCAGCAGCTTGTTGCTGAATCCACTTCCCATATTCTCCCTCTCCCCCCTCTTGTTTCCCATGCCACCAGTTAGTTACCTGCAGTAACCGAAAAGTCCAAAATCATTGGCAGGCAAGAGGGCTTAGCAGCAGGATTCACCCTGGTTTACAGAGCAGTCAGTGCAGCAGCTTCAGCAATTGCACTAATGAACCCTATGGGCTGCAGTCTAACCCCTTAGGACACCATTTAGGCAGCCGTGAATTACAGCGTCTTTACCACGCCTGTTGTCACCAGTGCCCCATAGACTGCCACTCTCTCTAACACTCAAGTTACTGTTTCTGTAAATGTGTACTGAAAAAAACCTATGCTAGTAAATATGAACAAAGTAGTTTCCTGAATTAGCATCTTTGTTTATAACTCTTTTATGGTATTATGGGCATGTGTGATACATTTGAACAGAATATTTATTTTACTCTGTTCTGAAGCTGGTCATTCACTAAAGGAAGACATAGTCTACAGTGCCTTAAAATGAGTTAAGATTTTCAAGAGATCTGGTGCTCTATCTTTAAGTTTCTACCTAATGGTGATCTGGTTTGCAGGGAATAGTAAAGTTACATTAATTGCCTCAAGTGTTTCACTTGCACAAAAAAATTGCAAGACATACTGTGCTTTTATGGTATTCACAGTCTAATACCTATCTGGATTTTGTTTTATACTTAAATGATATTTAAGGACCCGGGAAACTATAGGCCAGTCAGTCTTACCTCGATCCTGGGCAAGCTGTTCGAGAAAATTATTCTGGCACATATCCAGGAGGGGCCAGCAGGGAAATGCATGCTCAGGGGCAACCAGCACGGGTTCATCAGCGGCAGGTCATGTCAGACCAACCTGGTGGCCTTCTACGATCAGGTCACTAAATCATTGGATGCAGGGGTAGCAGTGGATATAGTCTTCCTGGACTTCCGGAAGGCTTTCGACACTGTCTCTCACCCCGTTCTCATTAGGAAACTGGGGGACTGTGGCGTAGACACCCACACAGTCCAATGGGTCGCCAACTGGCTAGAGAGCCGCACCCAGAGGGTGGTAGTGGATGGGTCCTTCTCGGCCTGGAAGGACGTGGGCAGTGGGGTCCCGCAGGGCTCGGTCCTCGGACCCGCCCTGTTCAACATCTTCATCAGTGATTTGGATGAGGGGGTGCAGTGCATCCTGTTCAAATTTGCTGATGACACCAAGATGTGGGGGGATGTGGGCACAATAGAAAGGAGCAACAGGCTACAGTCGGACCTTGACAGGCTACAAGGATGGGCGGAGGAGAACAGGATGGGGTTCAACACAGACAAGTACAAGGTGATGCACCTGGGGAGGAACAACCGGCACCATACCTACAGGCTGGGGAACTCCCCTCTTGTCAGCACGGAGGTGGAAAAGGATCTTGGAGTCATTATCGACTCCAAGATGAACATGGCTAGGAAGAGGGGGGGGGAGGGCCAGGAGGCCAACTAAAGCAAAAGGTATTCTGGTTTATAAATGAAAAAAATGGTCCAAATTTATCTTTGAAGGTATGGACATATGAACAACCTACCAGAGGGCAAAAGGGGATGGAGCTTTATTGCACAGCAGGAGATGTACAGTAATTCCCTGTGTGCATACACATTTCCCACTGTAGATGAAAGCTAAACTGCAATAACTTAGCCCTCTTTCACTTACTTAAGGTTTTACCTACTTATTGTAAGGTAAGATCATGCAGTTATCTCAGAGAAGCTGACATCTGATAGTACCTCATGCCCTTTTACTTCATGGTAAACTGTTCAATATCCTGAAAAAATTCCTTTCACTTCACTGAAGCAAGATGACCATCTTGCTGGGGTCGTTTGACCCCAGTACTCTTTCCTGCCATGGCAGGGGGGCGGACTACATGATCTGCCCAGGTCCCTTCCGACCCTAGAAACTATGAAACTATGATATGTGTGTACTCTAAACCACTATGGGATAATATAGCTATCACCAACTTATAAATACATGCAAATAAAATTTTGAACTAGATTCAGATCCTCTCTGCACACCTGTTCAATAGTTTCAGAAGAGTGTAATTGGCCAAACTCATAAGAAAGTCCCATGAGAAAGTACATCTCCACTAAAATAATTGGAATTGCACTGCTTATGCCAGTACAGTCTTTGGTTCTCCATTTTTTGGGGTGTGCTTTAAATTCTGGAAAGTTTAGACTCTGATCCCAAGTCTGTTGAAGTCGTTGTTGAAGTCCTCCTGTTAATTTCAGTTAGCTTAGAATCAAACCTTTTGGATGAATAAGTCAGTTTTTAGTTGGAGAAGATTGCTGTCTCAGTTTTACTTGTGGAGTAGCGCGCTGTTCAACTCCAGTGTTAATCTTTGCTCAAAATGAACTGGAGGATGATCTGTCAGTGTTACAAAAATACTTTAAGTCAAGTCAAGGACAGGAAAAAAGAGAGGCAACTTTCTCCACGTCAAACTGAAGAGCAGGAGCAAGAGTTAGATCCATTCCATGACACAAGCATGACATGCCACGCAAGGCACAAAACCATTCCAAGTCAGAAGCAGCAGTCGTGTTTGAACCTGACATTTAGCTCTGTTTCTCAGAACATGACTACAGTACTTCTGGTTTAGGAGCTAGTGTACAGAGGGCTAGGCTGAGGATCTGTGAACCATGCACCATCCTGTAAACATATCCTGTATAGTAGGTGCCACCTGGTCTTTAAAAGTGGAAGTCCAGTGCTAAAGTTTTGTTAATATGTTTTAGCTTTTAATATACTTTAATAGCTTTTAATAAATATAAAAGCTTTGGGTTTGGTTCCGTGAAAAATTAATTGCATGTTACTTCAACTCTGCCTTACTGTCACTATTGTTTAACAGTTTTCATGGCTACTAGGGTTTATTTTCAAATCACTGGTGGTTTATTTTTAGGACACCGTTCCAATATGGACAAGTCAACAGAAAGCATGTATGCTGCAACACGACGAGAAGGGTTTAATGATGTTGTAAGGGGAAGAATTCTATCAGGAAACTACTTTTTGCTGAAGCAGTAAGTTCAGCACATGTTAAAGCTCAAATCTTCAAAGTTAATATATTTGTTTACAGCAGGGCTAGGGACTGAAGTTTCACATAAACTGGTTTTAAGTGATCAGAAACTAGTTTAAACCTGTAACAGAACGGAAGCTTAGTGTACATAAACCAGTTTCATAATGGCCAAAACTGGTTTAAGACAAATCTGGTTGAATGTAGTATTAGACTCAACTGATTTATGGAACTCCTGTCCCAGACCCCTTCCTGGTTTAAGTTAAATCAGAGTCCCTTAGCATCCCAGCATGCTCTGCAGCCTTGGGCTGGGCTGTGCTGCCTGCTCCAGAGAGTAGGGCTCTGCTCCTTAGCCGGACCAAGTTCAGGGGCATAGCCAGCTGCTGACCCAGCATGGCTCCCTAAGGCGAAGGGAGCAGGGAGTGGGTTTATTTCCCCTGAGGGATCCCATCTGCCTGGTGGGGGCATAGCAGCCCCTGTCGGGCATCCCCCCTGCCCCCAGCTGCTCAAGCAGTGGGGGGGTGAGGCCAGCCCTGGCAGTAGCCTGAAGTGACCCCCCCCCTCCCCCCCATTTGCTTCTGGCTGGTACTGGGGCTGGCCATGCCCTCCACCACTTGAATGGCGAGCGGAGCAAAATGCCTGATAGGGGCCATTGCGCCCCTGTCTGGCAGACCCTGGCTGCGGTCTGTACCGGTGGCACATGGGGGGGGGGGGGGGGGG